ACACACACACACACACACACACACACACACACACACACACACACACACACACACACACACACACACACACACACTGAGTTGGTGACTGCATTACCAAATGAGTTTGCGCATGTCAGGTTTAATGTCATTTTAATATCAGCGCTTTATAAGGTTCTTATAATCCGGGGCACACGCAGGTGACCCGACTTATAATCTCCTGTTTGCTGCGTCTGCCTCTACCTGAGGCTAAGCTGACACAGAAATGAAATGAAAGAACACTTTGTGTCACAGCACCAATTCAGTGATTACACATGTCCGGAGCTTTTTATTTATTTATTTCATTATTTTTTATGGCGTTGCGAAGGCGGGGCAGAGAGGCTATTACAGTTAATGTTTCACTAATATTCCTAAGTACAGACGCCAGAGGAAATAATGTAAAGAAGGGCAAAGCAAATCTAATTACGAAGATGGTTCCTGCTTTATTAGATCAGAGTTTATAGGAAGATCATAAATTACAATTTGCATGTGAAGCGCAACATCATTCACAGGCGAAAGCTGAGAAAGCATCAGAATGAAACAAATAWAGACGGGTCATTTCTGCTGAATCATCATCTGAATTATAAAAAGAAAAACTGTCTCATTAAGCGTAGAAAACTCCAAGAAAATGACACCAAAAACATCCACATTAAAGTCTACCAACAGGCTCAGGATCCATCTGACTGTTTAAAGTGATGCTTCAGAACATTTAAAGTTAAATATGCAGATATACTGTATATTAAATATGACTTTACTTTTTAAACACACCCTAACCCCTTAGTTTCTTAGTTTAACTTCTGTATACATTTTGGAAAGAGATATTCTGTATATTATCAAGACTTTAAGAGCTCTACCAAGTCATTTAATTTAAAACAAACAATTTATTTAAAAAAATCGTATTTAAATTAGATTAATTTCATCAATTTATAGTTTTATTATTTTACTTCTGCAGAATATAAACAGGTTTGTTGCTGGTTTTGTAGATATTTCCCTTACCTCTGCGCAGAGTCATGTACGGGACTAATCAGTACAGCAATTATGTGTTAAAAGTCTTTAGTTGTATTTCATATTACTATTTTTATGGATATTATAGTTCTTACCGGTACTTTATAAATACTGTATGTTACTTATGATATAACTTAGAGTTCATTTTCGCATCGAAAATACCTCAAACTCTTTCATCCATCATAAGTTTAATCGTACTTGTATTCGCGTAATACTGAATGTTATAATTTAGTTTTATTATAAATCACCATGGTTCAAGAGAAAACTAGTCATAAATATCGACATTGCTGCTTGTTATGTCAGCAGAAATATTCTAATATTCTTACCAGAAGTGCTCTAGGCACTACAGCTAGCTGCTAATGCTGTTTGCGCTTGCAACTAACCACAGAAGTTTATCTGAATAACCTTGTCATGCTTTTGCATGAACCTGTATGACATTATTTGGAGGCTGACGGTGCTGTAATGTAGCAGTAATACACTTTTTTAAAACTTTTTAAAATCCAGTTACTTTTAAGCTCCAATTTTACAAGAAGTTAGATATTGTTTGTTTAGAAATGGTTGTTTTTTATGGATCGAGCGCATCGAGCCGTACTAACTTGAAGTGAAGTTTTTTGAAGGTGAAGTGAGTTTCCACGATCCCAGTGGTCTTCACGCGGGTCCGCAGGACATCCTGCTGCGTCGGGATGTAACCAGGATCACAGATCCTGTCCAGGTCGTTCAGGTAGCTGAGGGGGTTAGAGAAGATGACATGATCTAAGAGCAGAGGAACTCTGTGTTATAATGTTTATGTTTGCAGATAACTCAAATTAGACTTTAAAACACAGTTAGCTGCTGAAACGCAGCTGAAATCAGTGCTTAAAGCTAAAGCGTTAATAAGACGATCACTGTCAGACACTCCTGTTCGATCACGTGTCCAGCTCGCTCTGCACCAATAATAAAACTGATCTGAGGACACCACAGAGCAACACTAAATATGGGCTGATGTGTTTACGGGCGATAAACACTGGCTTCTCGTGGGTTGAGTAAAAACAGACCAACTCTGCTAGTTCCTCTTGTCGCACAGTTTGGACAAAGCGCGCCGACAGTCATGACAACTTGGCTGTTTTCACAACAAACAGCGTGCCCTTCACACCGAGCAGCTTTTTCTTCCCAGGATGAGCGTAATATGAAGGAAAACAGACACCGAAACTGAGACGCTTCAGCTTCACCTCCGGATGATTTTTACAACCAGACAAAACGTTTTTCTTTGCCTTCTTTTTCCAACCTTTTCAACAACATTTTCCAACTATTTTAGTCCAGTGTTAACTACTGTAAAAGCATATTTGTCAGTTGTGAAAGGATAAAAACCCCACTTGTCAGTTTCTAGAGGAATGTGAGCGGCTCTGCAACAAGCCGACACAGGCTTGAAGAGAACAAGATGCATCACGCCTTCCATGCGATTTGTGAAAATGTCAAATAGTGAAACTCCTCTCCATCCAACGTGTCAACTTTTATTTGTCATCAGCTCTTTTAGCTTCAGCTTTTAGCTCTTTTATCAGCTCTTGTAGACCAGTGGCTGAGACCTGTGTCCCCAACTGTGTTTGGGTGAGAAACAGATTTCAGGTCAAATAAACAGGAACATAATTCATTACGCTACTTCCATATATTTTTAAGGACACTAACCTTACTTTAGTAACAACTAAGGCAAAAATAATGTGATTAATTCTGAAAATCCTAAAACTTCAGGACCTACAGTGGGGTCTTCACCCCAACTCTAGGAACCACTGCTGTATTCTCAAAAAACAGATATAATGGATTTAATTTAATAAAATATGTCAACTGTTTCCGCAGCCATCTTGAATTAGGTTGACTCCAAATGTTAATGAGTTGTAGAAGAATATCAAATGATTATTTCAGAAGGTTTGTTTAAAATCTTTGCCGTGGCTCAAGAGATGTTTTGCTAAGAGAGGGGCAGAGTTGACCGACAGTTTTTAAAACAGATCTTATGCAATTAGTTGGTGCTCAGAGTATGTGTTAGGGATAAGTCTAGTATGCACAATATTCATCGTGATAACAGCCTGTGCAATAGAAATATCACAAAAAACTGCATGAACTGTGATAAACGGTTGGCTCAAAGTCTGATAAACTAAATGGACTCGTGATACCACATCAAATCATAACCACATGATGAGTCGAGGAAGTAATGGACAATCGCAAGGAGAGATTCTGCAGTTGGATTTAAGTTTATTTAAAATTCTTTAACTTACTTTCAGATGTTTTTATTATTTATTTAAAACAACAGGGGTGTTTCTCAGTATTTACAGCATCAGAAAAGATTAAACGAGGACGATGTCATTAACAAACTGTATTACAAGCACTTTGTTGTTTCACTGCTAATACAGCGGCTGTGTCTAGTTGCACTTTTTAAAATAAAACATGTCATGTTGGAATGGAAATGACATATTACTTGTTTTCTTACTCTACACCCAGAGCAGAAAGACAACAAGCATTTGGTCATTTATCGTCATAAATGTCATGTCGTCATCGCAATATTAAGTAGTTATCGCAGGTTTTCCTGATATCGAGCAGCCCTAATACAAAAACATCAAATTTTAATTTAATATTCTTAACATTAGCTATATTAGACCAAGTTTTGAGTTTCCTAAGGTTGCTTAGTTGTGGCAGCCATCTTGAATGGAACTGATTGCAAATTCCAATGATTTCTTTTCTGACATTTTCATTAAAATCAATCCAGTGGTTCATGAGACATAATTATTGCCTTTAGCAGCAGGTTGGAATAAACAGGGCTGGTGGGTGATAAAACAATAATGATATAGACACACTATCATTATCAATATGTCCTATAGAATGATAAACTCCAATCCAGAACTGCATGACATTCTGGGGGATGTAGGCCAAGCTTCTAGGTAGGATTCTGGAAGAAGGCATCAACACTTCAAGTCAGCCCCCGCCCCCCAAACACGAGCTGTAAAATCACCTCCTCTATCCAAGCCGGCGCATTTTATTCTCTATGTGTCGTCCTCAGGCTTCATAAAATAACTGTGGTTAGCAGCACACAGCTTACAAGGTTTACAGAAATTTACATAGTTAAATAAGATACGGACCAGGACCAGAGATTGTGACAACACACAACAGCTACTGAAGCTGTAAAACCACTACCCAGCAAATTCTCACAAGCTAACTCACTCACTCTTTGCAAAGCTAGCAACAACCTGTTGAGTAACGTGCAGCAGCAGCTTCATGTTTCACCACCGTGCCTCAGAACTGCTTAAAATAAAAAAGAACGGCGTGGAGTGAAAGGAGAAAATGAGGCAACAGATCGAGAGGAAATTGTGGATAAAAGAGGAAAAGTGACATTACTAGTTTGGCAATAATAATCAGCCTTTTTTCTTCTGGTCCTTATTTCAAATAGGCAAAACGGAAACTAATCAATAATTATCAATATAGACTGATATATCGTGATACATTTTTTAAAATCTGTATATCAGTAATAAATAATGTGCAACTTCCTCACTATGCAGCTGAGTCGTTGAGCTGATACTCCCGCGATCGAACGAAGCAGGCCTGAGCTCCTCCGTCGTTCCACAGTCTGCGGATCACGCCGGCCAGCTCAGCAGTCATCACTCCTTCCTCCGCGGTGCTCGCCAGGGCAAACAGCTGCTGGGCATCATCCTGCCAACAAAAAAACCCCGATGACTAATGCCACTGTAGAAATGTTGCTGTGGTGATTTACACGGCAGCCACACGGCCGACGGCTTACCGCCCGTGCAGGGTCCACATAATCTATCTTCAGTTGGCCCATTGCCTTGATGATGGCCATGATGGACTGGATTGTGTTGCTGTACACCACCACTTTGTACTGCTTACACTCCTCTTCTGTGTAGCCATCCTCGTGAATGATTCTGCCACAGAAACGAAATCCAAACAGACTTTTAGCGTTCCCGCAGAAGCTATTTAACAAAACGTGGATTCAGTTACACATTTTGGCACATTTCATGCAGTCCCATCATTAGCACTGGAATTTGAGCTTCAGTGAGCATGTCTAATGTGGGAACCGGGGCCGAGGGCAGAACTCTATTCAGGTCTTGCCAGGCAACAACTCGCCTCTGTTTGCCATTGTTTAACTAGATGTGCAAAGAAAAAAAAGGGGGCTTCCTCCCCTGCCTGAGTGGAAAGAAATGAGGCTCATGTTGTGCTTCCACAGCATTTCCAGACAGATGAGCTCAACAATGTGGCAGCTAAAAGAGGGAGCGAGCCCGCTTTTCATCGGCGCAACACAAAAAATGATTTTGCAGGAAGTCGAAAACGAGCTCCTTCGTCCACATGAGCTGCGACTTACTTCATCTGCTTTACAATCGTGCTTTTCCCAGATTCCCCTGCACCTGGAAAACAAACAAAAATCGAGGGCGAGGGGGTTAGTTTAAGGCAACAATCAGAGCTGTAACACATAATGTCTGACACTTTAGACCTCTCTCATGAGGATAATGGATCAATCCGGCTTTACACAGCAGCTGAAATTAATCTGATGTTATTTCATCACCGATCCTGCAGTCAGGACGTCTGAGGTTTGCAAAATACTGGGAATTTTTCCCAAATGGAAACTACCCAAGGGAATTAACATGAATTTTTGGGACTTTAAAATCCTGACGGTTGGTCCCTAACAGGGATTCTAAATTTATTTGGGGAAAATATATTTAAAACATTCAGATTTCATACCACGTCCCAAAAAATGATCATCTGTGTCACCTGGACATGTAGAGACAAAGAGAAACCGGAATCTTTATAATATTTATGTTTAGAGCCGTTTTGTTTTTATGCAAATAAAATGACAGAAAAAGACAAATTAAGGATCAAAAAATTATGTTCAAAATTTTGAGAATCAAATTAGACAAAAATGTAAACATTTTAACAGTTTACTGATAATGGTTTTGTTTTAATATGAATACATTGAGAGAAAAAAAATCAAAAAAACATCTAATAACATGAATATTTGATCTGAGACAAAAAAAAAAAAACTCCATTCCCGTAAGTGACATAGTTATAATGATGATTCAACACCAGAGTAAAACTGATGTCTACGACTATCATCCAAACAGGAAGCAGCAGTGGAGCTGCTGGCTGTGAGAGCGTTTTTCCACCGGAGAGAAACAACCCCAGAAAACGTGCAGCTCTGAGCAGAGAGAGGACATCCATCCAAACAACCGACCCCCATAACAAACCTGTTCTTTGACCCAAACCCTGCTGCGAACCTTAATGGAAACTGTTCCTCTTTCCTGTTTGGTGTTCAAACCATTCGGATCTCAACTACAACATGTGGCGCTCACAGACCTGCTTCGTGCTACTCGAGGTCTCTTTTTTAGAAATCTGCAAAAACTGGATTATTTATCTTCATGTTAAGTTTCTTAAATAAATGTGCAAGCATCTGAAGAGCGCAGAGACAATGATGTTTGTGCCGTTTATGCCATCAGTTCCCCTCATTTATTCAATGACATTTTAAAAGCTCTTCTCCACCTTCTTCTCTGCCTTGTATCTGTTCCATGCCACAGTTTTTATACTCAGATTAAGTCTTAAAATAACTGCTTTCAGGAGCTCTGGGGAGAGTCTATAAATATAAAGGAACAGTAAGACATTTATGGGAATGTTTCTTTTCAGTCTCACGCCACACAAATAGTTCAAAACTACTCGTTCAATCTGAAACCGAAATCCACAACAGRTTAGCTTAGCTAAAAAAAATAAAAATAAAAAGGAAAACACGTGTTTAATTTAAAAGGAATGCACAACAACAAACCGGGATATCTCTGTCAGTTGTGAAGTGATAAAAAAATTAACTTGTTTCTTGTGCAACGCAGTCTGCGCTAAAACAAGCTGACACAGGCGAAACAAGGACAAGACACATCATGCCTTTCCTTTCGCTCCCAGCAGAAATGTCTAATCTGTCACTCAGTGAAACTCCTCTCCGTCCAAACTGTCAACATTTGTCATGAAGCCACCAATCAGCTCTTTTAATAAGCTCCCAGGCATTTAAATAATTATCATTCCTTCAAGAAATGCACATCGCCCGCTGCCTTACGTGTCAGATTTTAAGCGAAGATGATCAGAGGAGATGGAGCTTTAAATGACACTATGATCAGTGTTAAGCAATATTGTGAAATCTTGCTAAATGTGTTTGTGCTCAGATCATGTTGACTCTCAGCAAGTCAAACTTTGCGCCAGTATTTGTAAATCTGACTACATTGGGGTTGGGCAATATCGCAAACCCAATGGTGGAAAGTGGAGCAGCTAAACCTAARATGTTTGATCACATGAAACACCGACATAAACAGGAAAATGAGAAACACGAACAAAGTCCACATTGACCACATGCAAGTGCAACTGTCATCAATTAATCATCATATTATTCATTAACGGATAAACGCCACACTTAATCATGTTACATTTTTATGCCAGTATTGCCCAACTCTAGACTACATTATAGACATTTTTGAGTTGGATGAGCTGGAAATGTGTTGACTCAAAGTTAGTCATAGACGTACGTCCCATTATTACTTACTGAAAGTTTTATTTAAAATGTGTCTTCATGGTTAAAGTTAGAATTTCCTTGGATATAAAAACAATTTCTCTGTGACTCTGATTTGGTAATGATTGCTTATTTAGTTGGGTTTAGATGTAAGATTTAACAACTAATTTCACAATAATCCTCAACTTCTACTGCTTATCTGCTTCAGACATGTAATGGTTCTTATTTATCTGTAAAATGCTACTTTTCAGAAATCTTTACGCAGGAAAACATTGACAAAAACACTCAAGTCTGAACTTCTGCTTTCACATTTACAGTGCGTGCTTCTGATCAGCTGTTCAGAGGAATCCAGGAAATCCCACAAATAGTTATCAGCTTCGTCCAAGCCTTCCTCATTTCTGTTTTTGCTCTCAGTAATAACAGTCACTTTTCACAGCGCCCATCTAAAATGAAATTATTGATAAAACTGTTTGAGCTGCAATGGAATATTGTAGACACGACAACAGCTTGTGAAGCCTGGGAAAACGTATAATTTCCAGCTGAATTTATCGTTTATCAGCYTGTTTCACTCAACCACCGAGTCCCTAACACACCTGGATGACGTGTTTTATCAACCGGACATAAAAAGAGTGACTGCATTTAGACGTTTAGCAACACCTGCGCACCATGGCTTCTCTGTTCCTTCCTCGTGCAAGATGAAGTTGCACTGATGACAAAATAACTAAATGCCTCATCCGCTGCTTTCCGTGACAAAGTTTTGGTCTAAGATCAGCTTATTTTGAGAAATGACAGAGTTGTAACCATTTCAAAACTTCTGTAGAATCTCATGCAGTGTTGCGAAARGTCAGCGAGGGGTGAAACAGTTGTGTTAGGTTCCAGGAAGATTGCTGAAGTCTGCATAAAATGGYTAGGTTGATTACAAAACTTTGGATTTAACCTTGAAAGTGAAGCACAAGGCTTATCCTGCTGATTCATTACAGAATGAGGAAGTTTCATTATAAATCCACTATTACTTAAACCTAAACACTGAAATTTTCCTTCTAAAATCTGAGGGTTTATCATAAAACCTTCATTTTAGCATTGGTTACAAACAAATAACCATTTAAATCCTTTAATATTCATCTTTTTGTTAAAAAACAGGTGAATCTACTCTAAAGTTATTTTATACTGTGGAAACAAAGAACATCACAATCCATCTTTAACGCAACAAAGCCAGAATAAATGAACTTATTGAACTCCAGGTCTGAATGGAGGAGCAAGAAAAATCCTTCCTCAGTTCTTCCTGGCCGCTGAAAGCTGTGTCTACGTGAAACAACAGAGGTCAAACTCAAACAACTGGCCAGAGAGAGAGTTTCCATAAACATTTAGAGTTTCCTTCATGATGACAGCTGATCCTCCGTTTGGCCTGATGTAACCACATGTTAAAAAAAACTTTAAAGATCATTAAAAATAATGTAAGCTGAAGGGATGCAGTATCTCTGCTGTCGTTTATACCATTGTTATAAACTAAGATCTTATTCTGAAAAGTGATGGATTTTTAGCCATTTTGTTCAATCCTAGAAAATAAAGTTGTCCACGATCACACAGGATGTTACAAGATTTTGCACAAATAAAACTTGGAATACGTGTCGGGAATGAAACAAATTTAAGTTCTCCATCTGTAAACAAAAAAACGACTATGATACAGATTTTTACTTTTGTAAAGATGATTAGCTGTGGCAGCCGTCTTAAGTTGGGTTGGCTCCACAAGTCAGTCAGTTGTAGATTTACATGTGATGATTAATTTTTCGAGGGTTTCATTAAAATCTATCCAGTGGTTTGTGAGAAATTTTCTTAACACATGGACAAACGATAATACTACCCGAGGGTAAAACTACATTTCCACTTGCTGTTCTCAGCAGCTGATTACTGTCAGTGAGGATTAAAGTGGAATATTGTGTCCGGATCACTGTCCAACAAGAATTTAATCCGTGAATTCTTTGGTCAGGCTGACGGCTGGAAAATAAACGCAGGTTTGTCACACAGACACAAAGGAGAAGACAAACTGRGTTGATGTCGTCCACCAGCACTCTCATTCATGGCATTTCTTGGCTGATTATCAGCCTCAGCCTGCAGCCAGTTCACAAAACCAACTTTACAGAGTTCTTCACAGTCCTCCAAACCCACACACACAGCAGAATCCAAACCAAACTTCATTTAACAGGAATCTCAAATCCACTTTTTTTTATTTTATTACTATCTGTGGTCGAACAGATACCATTTTCATCGGATGGGTGCACTGGCTTTGAAGCTTTGTGGTTTAGATTTTTCCCCCCGTCCTATAACTGTTCTGTTCCAATACAGATAGAGAGTCACTGCCTGGAAATAAATCTTTGTGGTCATACCCATAGCTTGCAATGAAGAGTTGCACCACCTAATGCATCACAGAACAGTTTACTGCTGGTAGAATTGTTTGAAAAAATAAAATAAAAACGGTGTATAAATTCATAAAAGCAAATTCTTAAACACTCAAAAAAACTTGTCTGTAACACATTGATGCTGGTAAAATCTATAAAACAAAGAGTTGAAGTAATTGTCTCATAGCTCAAAAAATGGTAAGAAGTAGATTTATGATTTACGACAGGCGCTTTTAATCTGGATTTATGTTCAAGAGCAATCACTACAAATTAGGGTTGGGTGATATTAAAAAAACAAACAAAAAAAKCCCCAACAACTAATCATTATCGTGGCATTTAGCCAATAACAAATTTATGATGAATAGATTACACGTTTTTCACTCTAAATCATTTAATTTGTGTCCTAAAATCATATTTACAATAATCAAACTAACTGTTAGCTCCACATTTGCATTAGTTCTGTGTTAGC